AGCAGAGCCTAGTAAGACCTCCCTGCGTGGGCACAATCTGTAATTATGGCCTTAAGGCCACTGCTCACTCTGTTTTAGGGAATAGTTTTCTTTACACAATCAATGCAATCTGAATTTCAGTGATATCAAGCTTGATTTCTTCAATCAATTGACTCAATTATAACACAGAACACTTTGCTCCCTAGTCTAGTTGCAGAATAATGTGGAAATCATTTATTTCTTAACAAAAAGATAATGAAAAAAAATCAGCATTACTGAGAATACCACAGTATGTTTTAATAAGGTTTCACAAGCCTAGATTAAGCAATATGGAGAAGAGCTAAAGTTTAACAGAGTTTTTATAAAAATAAAATAAATATGTCTGCATGTCATATGCTATAGGTATATAGGAATAATTTCCACAACCCTATATCAAAAGAAAATACTGATTTACTATATATCTTTCAATCACCTCTGTGTTGGGGTTCTTCTACAGGTTATTGAAAACACTTTTTTTTATTTTTTGTGTGTGTGTGTAGTACCTGGCAACTTTGTAAGGAAAATAGTATGTTTTATCATAGGTATTTTATAACCTCTGTGCAAATATTATTTCCACAATGTTATGATCTTACTCTGTGTCAGATTTTTTCAGATGAAAGAATTATCTGTTCACCTCATTCTCGTTTTAATAGAGTTCTGTAAATGGAATGAATATAAACAGCATTATAAGTGGCTGGTGTCATGCCCCTAAAGAGGAAGTTGGCATGAATCTTGGGATTCAGTCATCAAAAGTATACCTTGACATGTACAAGCACAAGAGGATTTCAAGGTCTACAGCAAATAAATAAATAAATAAATAAAAATCATATTTTGCACCCACTGCAAACTAGAAGAACAAAACTTAGTGACTTTATATCAAACTCACTATGCTGGAGATTTCCAAGAAGATAAGTAGGGGGGTGAAGAAGAAAAGCTAATGAACTTCAGTGCAGTTGATGCTGCAGTTGCGGCATCAGTTCTTGGCTCAACAGCAAGGGTATTACTTCCCACCTCATATATATTTCTTGTGTGAAACCTGTTACCAAATATATTATGTTATGATATTATGCTGATTTGGGGCTATACTATCAGTTTTTCTCAGTACCACTGTCGGGTGATACACAAAAACAAAATGTTGAGAGAAGTGAGTTAAAATCAATGTTTTAAAATTTGGCACAGAACTCGATAGAAGATGTGGTATGAAGAGTAGTCACCTGGTAAACAGTTTGTATCCAGTTTAAAAAAAAAACTTAACTCCTCCGTTCAAATATGTATGTGGAAAGTAATCAGTCCTATGGGCTAAAATACGCCACACTAGCTGTATTGTTGCAACAGATTTTCACAAAGTGTCACAGACTTCATTTTTCCATAGATTACGATAAACCTATTTAATGCTGTAGCTGCAGTGGTAAGGAAAAAGAAGCAGTTTTCTGGTCGGTTTGTAATAGGAAGAGAAACCGAGCAGATGTATTTTTGCACTTATCACCCCTGAGTTGTTTGTTAAAAAACTCCAAACCCACAACCCTGCAGTTTCGAAACTGTGTGACTGTTAATCATGGGCAAGCAGTACGAGAGGAGAGCTCTTTTATTCCAATCTCTCTTCCCATTTCTCAGTCCCTATCTCTCTCTCTCTACAACTGCTCATGTCTCTGATTTCTCACTATCTCCAATTTTGTTCGATTTATCTGTGGGCTCTTATTCAGGGGCCAGTACTTTTAAAGTGGTGGCAAAAAACTGAAATTAAATTTTACACATATGAAAATAAGATGTAACTGTATATTATCGTAGTATTTCTTCCCTTGCACTCTCTTTATGCCTCTTAATTTCTTGGAGTTAAAGGGATATGGGTGGCAACTTACTATCCTAATTAGTGCCTATAAATGCTCTTGCAAGGTGCGTGTAATAAACATTAGTATTCTCATTGACTGCAATACATGCCAGATGGACCTGTAGGTAACATAATGGTGACATAAGCTTACACCACTTTCTCTCCCCTTTCCTTACTTACCTTTAACCTCTACCAGTTTAGAAAATTTAATATCTGCTTTCTTCCCTTTCCTTTCCTTTCCCTCTCCCTTCCTCCATCCCTCTCCCCTTTCCTTCTTCCTCTTGACATCCCCACAGCATGAGTCTTTGGCTACTGTCCTTTCCGTTGTTTTCTGAAAGCTCACGTGATCTATAAAACCTACCAAAACCAGTAAAACATGGAAGTCTTATTTTAACTTTTACTAAAGACTTTTTAACATTCTTCTGAGAATCAAGAGGATTTTATGTTGTGGATGAATCCCAAAACAGATATTCTCAGAATTCCAGATATTCACATTTACAAGGGTCCATATACTATCAACAGCATAACACGGGATTAAAACACTTGCAAACTGGGCCCAAAATGTTTGTCAAAGTTCATTTAGGCTCTAAGACAGGCACTTGAGCTTCAATAATCTTATTTATGTAATGCTAATTACTTTCCTCTGCCTCCTCTTTTTCCTCTGTTGGCCACAAATGCTTCCTGTCAAGTTTTAATTCTAGATTGTGCAATTTCTAGGACTGTCTAGTTTTAAGATGCCCCGTGCTTCTACTCGATGGGAAACAAACAGTCAATAACATTTTTAATTTTTTGCTTCATTAATATGATATTCTGGTTTTGATATTGTAGATAATACAGCCAGTATCCTGACAAGACGAAGGAGATACAGTCGAGCCACTCAAGATATCTATTACCTCCCAGTTTTGATTTCTGATGGTGGAGTGCCCCCTCTCAGCAGCAGCAGTACTCTCACAATTCGGGTTTGTGCGTGTGAGAGAGATGGACGAGTGAGAACTTGCCATGCTGAAGCTTTCCTCTCCTCGGCTGGCTTGAGCACTGGAGCTTTAATCGCAATCCTGCTCTGTGTTGTCATTCTTCTTGGTAAGCCATTTTCAATATTAAGTAAGTAATGCTATCCTTCCACTGGCTCTCTGAATGTGACAGGGCAGAAATTGTTAATCTGATATGGTTTTGAACCAGAGGCTGCCTGGTAGTAGGAGGTAATTAGAAACACATAGCTGTGATTAGGGGGGAAAGGTTTAGCTAAAATTAATAGGGAAAAATGCCTTTAAAGTACATTCATGAATATCTGGAATCCACTAGAAATTACTTTTCAGAGGTTATCAGGTAATTAGCACTGCAGATCTTTTTTCTGTAATTTGGAAGGATTTCAAAAAGCCACTGACTCTAATTCTATGTCTAGAACAGTGTGAAAAATGATAGAAAAGAGATGAGGAAAGGTTTTTGAAATGCATTACACTGTAAGAAGCACCATTAGCACTGTACAAAAGCCATTTCTTAATTACCTTTGTGGGATAAACTGACAGCAATGCACAACATAATCCACAGGGGCAAGGGACATATAAGACTATAAGATGACTCCATCAGATAAATGCCCCTGCAAGTGCATTTTCTCTTGCCTTTTTTTTTTTTGCCCAGACCAATTTGAATGTTACCCATTAGTTAATATTACTCTTTTTTTTTCCTGGCAGAGGCACAACTTGCTGAGTACATATCTCTGTACTACTCATGTGCCTTTCCGCATTCTTATAGAGACAGCAAGAAATAATGAGAATTGCACTGTGACCCACATAGGAGATTCTAGGGATTTTTTTTTTTTCCAAAGGCTCTACATTTTCTAAAGACTACTTTTCTCACAGGTTACTTCAGAACTACCTTGTCAGAAAGCTGTTTTAAAACGTATAGTGATACATTTAGTTTACAGTCTTACATTTTATCATCCAAGACTGAATATTCATAACAGAAAAAATAAACCTGTTACATTTCAATTCAATATATATGGTAAATATCGGTTTTAATGAAGCACTGAAAGCCCTTAACAATGCTTCTGAAAAATGTCAGCCTTAGTTACTCATTTCTCATTTAACTGAAAGTATGTTATCCCCTTTTATCTCCTTTATGAGATCCCTGATAATCTAATTAGTGAATTTCATTATTGGCTCAAGAAACCTCAGCAATCCCCATAAAGAAAATATACAGTAGAAGAATGCTCTTTACTGGCCCTTTGGAAGACAAAGCTCTATAGGAAGTTTGTAGTTTCAGTACAGCATTATTAATTTTCCCCTTAATTGTGTGATCTCAGCCTGCTGCACTTTGGCATGTTGCTATGTCAAAACACAGCTGTATGGATTTCATCGGTGCTTTCCAGGCATACGGTAATCTATCTTCAGGTAACACGTTATACAGCAAAGGCATTGCTCACTTAGGAATATAAGTACGTTCTTTTCCATATTGGACAGGTTTGGTGACCCTTTGTTACAGACACGTGCCTGATGTAATGATTCCGAATAACAATATTAGCCGAAAGTATTACACCCTTGTATTCATGACTTAGTATCTGCTATTTCTGTAGCATATAAGTACTTACTTCAGACGTAAACTTTAAACCTAATCTAATATCTGCAGTTTTCTCTTTAGCAATTGTGGTCCTTTTCATCACCCTAAGACGTAGCAAGAAGGAGCCCTTGATCATTTCAGAAGAAGACGTCCGGGAAAATGTTGTGACATATGATGATGAGGGCGGTGGAGAAGAAGACACAGAAGCATTTGACATCACAGCACTGCGGAATCCATCAGGGGCTGAGGAGCTAAAATACCGGAGGGATGTTCGTCCTGAAGTGAAGCCTGTGCCCAGGCATCATCCCTCCTCAAGCCTTGACAGTGTAGATGTTCAGGAGTTCATTAAACAAAGACTAGCAGAGGCTGATCTGGACCCCAGCGTGCCGCCGTATGACTCCCTACAGACATATGCCTATGAGGGTCATAGATCAGAAGCTGGATCTATCAGCTCTCTGGATTCAGCCACAACACACTCTGACCAGGATTATAATTACCTTGGAGACTGGGGACCCGAGTTCAAGAAGCTAGCTGAACTCTATGGGGAAATAGAATCAGAAAGAACAACTTAGTTGTAATTCCCAGAATGGAGAAGTTCCTAAACAACTGGAGATATAACAGCAGCAACAGTAACAAAAAATGAATACATTGGAACTGAGCAAGTTGTATGCAGTTACTGTAGAACAAGTGCCCTTTTCATATTTGAAACTGGGTTCTCCAATTGGAAGAAAGTCAAATTTTGAAAAATACAGAAAAAAGAAGCTATTGTCCCTTGTGCATATTTTTTAATTGCTCAATAAATTCCGTGGTACCGTATCTGTAACAATACCTAAGTAAAGCCAAGCAATGACATTTTTATTGCAATATGCTTAACGTCTCCAAGTTACAGTAAGTTTATGGTCATGCCTGTTTAGGAAGATAGCTAACGGAGGAGCAAATCTCTTGCAGGTGGTTGTGATGTTGCATTTCTAGCTGTGCTCTAGGCCTTGTGATCCCAATGTGAGGTAGCCAATGGGGTTTACTATCAGTGTGAGAAGTGCTAACAGTCCATTTCCTTTACAGAAGGGATAAGTCACACCTGTCCTCTTAAATAAATGGTCCTTTGATGATTTAATCTTATTGAATTAGCAGGTTGCATTGAGATGATGTCATTTCATTATGTCCTTCATAATCTTTCCATCTACAACCAGCTAACAGAGGGATGGCATCATTAGCTGTTAGCCCAAACATGGTTCTAGCCCATAACCCCAGACCTGCTCTGTTACTGCGTGCTGGAGGAACTGTTGTTTCCAGTATTGTGCTTTTTCTTTTTGTTTTTTTCATAGGAACATCATTCATTTAAATGGAATGGGTCCAAAGTACTCTTTATGTAGCAAAGCAGATAAAGCATAGGCTCTTTCAATAAAAACAACGGCAGCACCATTAAGCTATGCAGCTGTTTAGTTCACTGTGCTTCACTTATGTCAATAGATGAAGCTTTTCAAGTCTTTTGCTGGTCTGAGTCCAGGAGCTACAACAGTCAGTTTAGAACACAGAGTTCTTAATCATAATGTCTCTCTATTTCCGTGTGTGACTAAAAGCAAAATAGAGCTGCTGGTAAGACATTGGAACGGAGAAAATTGAAACAAAAAGAGTAAGATGATGATGCTTTTTTCTTTTTAGTTCAATCTACTGGTATTTATCTTAGAGTAATTTCCATATAAGCAGAGCAAGCTTTTCTCTCCCTATTTCAAGCATCATGGGAACAGGAACATTTTAAGTCAGTGGAGGACGAAAAAATTAAAATGTACCATTATTATGGTTCCTATAGATTAAATAAATTGATTTCTTATGTTAGTAACTTCTTAGCGTTGCAGAACTGCTTAACGGTTCTGCTTAACATTGCAGGCTGCTTAACACCTAATCCAGCAGATTCTTATGTTTTCCTTTGTTTTGTTTGAAACTTTAACCTTTTGTTTGTCTTTCTTGTATAATACTATGAGAGGACCGAGAGCTCATGATATCCCGTGAAAGATTATGACCTATAAGGTTCACCATCTAATACGGTCTTCTGCTTCTAAGAAAATTGTAGCCCCGCATAGGGGAGTGGACTTCTTGCAATATGCATTTGATAGGGCAACTGCCCAGAGCAGAAGCTGCGTACTGTTTTTTTTTACTCTCTGGGCTGGTGTGGAGAGTGATACAGATCTGTATGCTCCACTAGATTCCTCCCTATGCATTTTAGGTGCCACTTACCTTCAGCTTAGTAGAGGAGTACTTTTTGCTCCTCCAAGCAGGGTCTGTATTAATTGCTAACCTACTGTGGGACACACAGGTGAACCAGATTATTAAGCCTTCCCTTCTTTACTGTATGGCTGGGTAGGTCCTAGACATGACTGAAACTTCTGATCAGTTCTGCTTTGAGGATTTTTTTTTTGCTTTTAATGAACTCCTTCCTGAGCTGCTGTTGACTGCTTTTGGTTTAAACAGCCTTCTGGAAAAATTAGCAAGTAGCTTTGTAAGAAACTTTTCAAACTCTAAAAAGTATTAGTTGCACTGTAGTTCCAGAATTGGTTTTTACTACACTGTTTTGTTTGCAACTTGAAAATTGTAATGTTTCCCTTTCTGTCAACATCTGAACCCACAAGGCAATTTAGAGGGGAAAAAACCCTGAACCCTAAAATCTTCTGCTGATGATTTGAAAGTAGTTTAATAATCTGCGTTCAGATTTTTTTTTTTTTTTTTTTAAATTTTACCAAATACAGAATCTTCTAGAAATGCATTTAAGGAGACATTCTCATTGTAGAGTAAAGTTAAACAGGTGTTTTAATGCAGTAAGAGTTATACTTAAGCTGAGAATGGTTTCTGTATTGTCTTTTTTGGGAGTAGAGTTAGGATGTGTTTCAGTTTTGTCCCAAATGAAGCAACTAGTAGTGCAGGATTTTATGAGGATAAATTATCTTTTGATTTAGATCGCACTTGCTTTATGCCAACATCTAAATTTTTATATTGTATGAGTAGAGTGCTAAGAAGAAAATCTTTCAGCATTAGTAATACCATGGGCCATAATACTTTATACCACATCTGCATGAAAACTGCATTCATTGTTGTACTATAATTTTGAGAGCCAGGTATTAGTTATCTTTATGTCTGTTCCCTCTGGCCCTGCACCAAAGCAGGGAAAATCAATTGTATTTTGTGCTTTAAGTGTTCCTGCCATTGTTTTCTTTTTATTTGCATCATAGAACATTCAGGCTTAAAGCCACCAGAAATGCAGTGACATAAGCAAATAATCATTCCTTACGCTCATGTTCTGATTTAGTTAATGAGAGAAGGAGTTCGTATCTCAGAGAAATAAGAATGCCCTTTTCACCATTCCTGGTGCTCTCTTGGCTGCTGTACAGCACGTGCATCATACCCACAGCCCCAGGAATTCTGAATCCTTTAAAATTCTGCAGGGTTATTGAGACGCTGCTTCAGTAATGCTGCGGTGTGTCCTGTTTGGTATGTCTATCCACAGTGATTGCCAAATGTGCTTTTCTATCATGATACATCTGCATGCTTGCTATGATTACTGTTTTTTACTCAAATACACATCACAGTGCCGTGTTGATTGCATGACAAACAGCAGAATATTAAATCTTCAGGGCCACAGAAAAAGGCCTCACGGTGCAGAAAGAACAGGTTTACAGATTTCTTTTCCTGATCCCACAAATTTTTCCTTTGGTCCTTTGTGTCCTAGAAACTAATTTAAACTGTATTTGAGAATTTCTATGTTAACATTGATTAAACTGGAAGAAAATTAACACTGTATGCCATGGAGGGCACGATCATTTTGTAGCATTGCTGGGTTAAACGAAGTATACATTCAGTGAAAGTATCGTGGGAAACTCTTTCCTAGTTTATGGTTAAGTCTGATTGTATAGATGTTGCTTAAAGATTTCATGGATCTTTTGTGTACTCATATTCTCAAATATTTTCCTATTAGCCTAAATAGTAATCCTCTTGCCGCTTAACAATTAAACCCTGAAAACTGCCAGTTCTACTTAAACTGGAAGACATTGAGTAAAGTTAAATGGCACATACAAAGTGATGCTTAAGGGCTTTCAGATTTACAATTTTATTTCTGCAACACCTGTTCAACTAATAGTACATTTACACCAAATTAATTAGTCACATTCTTTCAAACAAACCCTCTTTCTTGTAATGGTGAGGGCACTCAGTATGCTGTAATCTCGACACGTCTTCTGAGACAATGGTCTGTATAAGTATTTTATATATTGTCAACCTAAAAACAGTCAAAAATGTAATTTAATACACTTTAAAGACAAGGAAGAGCTTGAATTCAGCTGGTATTATATTAAGATTCATACATTGGAAACAAATTAGTTTATCAGTGTTGCCATTTGTTACACATAGAAGACTGTAAAAAGTTGAAAGTAATTTCACTGTTATGCACTTTATTTTTTTCATTCTTCTTAGAAAACCAAAATAATTGTAAACATTTTTTGTTTTGAATTCTAATTGATGCAGTTGTTTAAGTTGTGAATACCGCAAGAAAATGTCTGTGTGAAAATATTCTCGCTGGTATTTCAAAGGAATTACAAAATTTCTGTGCTCTAAGGCTTTGTAAAATCATCCTTCAGAAAATCTAAATATTGGGCAAGTCTGGAGTTAACAAAACTCACGGACTCACACATAGGGTAACAAAGGAGATGTTCTAAATACAGAGAAGAATATGAAATTATGCTGCCTAGGGTTACTTTGTGGATTATAAAGTGCTAAGCCCTTGTACTTGCAGTACACAGAAATGGCACAGTGCATTCTAAGGAACATTAGGAGCATGTTGCAAGTATTGGGCCATCCTTATTTTTCCAAAGTCTCCAAAAATATATATTTTTTTTTTAACAAAAGAATAATGTAAAGTATCCTTATGCAAATGTTACTGATAGAAATTGTTACATTTTCTTTTAATAAACAAAAGGGACAAAATCTTTTATTCGTATTTTTCAAATAAAATATACTGTTTGCTATGGTGATGGGTTATTGTATTCCTCATCACAACTAGAATGGGTTATTTTCTCTTCACTCCTGTATTTTATACTCACCAAAGAAATATAAGTATCTAAAGGCAGTCTGTGTTTAAGAATCAGATGTGATACAGCAGTATTAATGAGGTCAATGTCAGAAATGGTATGGTAACTTTAACTAGATTTTCATGCTTGGTATAGTCACTCAGTTGTGTCACTATTTCAAAGACTGTCTTACATGATTATTGCTACAGATGGGTAGGGAGAGAGAGTGACACCAAGAGATACTTTGCAACAGACTGCAGTATAACTGCTAAATGGTTCATTACTTTTTCTTGTGGCAACTATTGCACTCCAGCCATCACCGTCCGGAAACTGAAATACAGAGTTATAGGAAGAATACATTATCCACATGACTGACTTAGGGAATTGCACATCTATGAATCCAGATTGGTGGTAACAGCCAGGGTTATTACCCTAAGTTGACACAGAATAGAAGAGAAAAAACAGGCAACGGCATTCACAATGATCAAGCTCAGGCACATGCAATGCAAGTGTCCAGG